CTGGCATCATCATCTTCATTATACGAGATCTCTATGAATTGGTGGAATTTTCATTTCACTACTAATTTCCCCAAGAACTGTAATAAATTTTACAAAAGTCTTTTTTATCAGTACAAACATCCATTTCCTAGTCTCCTGGCATCATCATCATCATCATCATCATCATTATACGAGATCGCTAGGATCATTCAATTTTTAGGAATTGGTGAAATTTTCTTTTCACTTCTAATTCCCCCGAGAACTGTAATAAATCTTACAAAAGTCTTTTTTATCAGCATAAACATCCATTTCCTAGTCTCGCAGCATCATCATCATCATCATTAAAGGAGATCGCTAAGATCATTCAATTTTTAGGAATTGGTGAAATTTTCTTTTCTCTGCTAATTTGCCCAAGAACTGTAATAAATCTTACAAAAGTCTTTTATTTACAGAAATTACTTTTACTTATTCTTATAGTATTTTACTTACTAGACAACAGGACTTAATGGCCGTCTGTGGATTTCAAATTTAAATATGTGTTTATAGAAATCTGTTAATTCAACGTGGCCTGGTAATGCTGATTTCAGACAATCGCCTTCGCATTTTTCGACCTCTCGTCATTTTCTGCTGTCTACCAATCTCGACGTTATAAATAAATGGCCCTAGCCGCAGGAAGATGAAAAGACTTTTTTTTTGTTCGACTAAACAAAGTTGGCGCTGCGATGCCCGACGTGGAAAATAGTTACGAATTCAGCAATCCGTCAGCAACTTAAAAAAAGTAGTAATATTGTCTCTTTTGCTGATGCAAGACCAACACAATTAATCCGAATATAACAATTTAGCATAAAAATTTAACACTGGCAAATAATAGTATAAAATTATAAAATATAAATTACAACCGGATTTCTAAAACGGCGTAGTACTAGTATACTAGTAAAAATGATGTTGCACTTGCCTTTAAAATTTGCTAAGTTTTTCTGTTGGTGATGACATCAAAAATTTTAAAACAATTCTTAGCCCTGTAACCTCTGCCACTTCAAGAGATTGCTTTGCAGGTTGGTTTTCCTCTAATCGTCTTTCCCTTAACCTAAGTAATATCAAATTCATTGGTTTCTCCAGTTACATCAAAATCCTTTCGCCTTCCAGTACGCCATCAACATCAACGTTGAGCGTGTTGATGTTATCTATGACTAAGAGTCACATTTAGCTCCAACTGCAAATTTAATACTCATATCGATACAGTTATTTAAAAAAACTAACTGTAACCTCTGATTTGTTAAGAGAATGTTTGCTGAATTTATCAATCCGTTCACTTTAAAGCTATTATTTCAATTCTTAGTGACATTTGGATTTGCAAGGATTGTATGGGCGCCCTCTATCAGGCATCGGGAAAGGATTCAGGACCTCCAGGAGTTCTGGTCGTGAATCGTATGACTGTCCTTTCCTCCTCACCAACTTCAGGTTGTACTCAGACGATGAAAAATTAGCTTGGAAGGTTCTCAACAGCTCGATATCTATCCAGAATGTCCAGGTCCACCAGCCTAAGGAATGGCCCACTTTTCCATGTGGATTTTTACCGGACCTCCTACGGGCTTGACACTACCTCATTGACTGTTTTCCACGATCGCTTCAGTTCATCAGGAAATGGAAATCGATGTTGTGCTCCTAGATAGATAGCTTATTTGCTTATTTTAACTTTTTTCCTTTATATTTATTTATAATTTATGTTTATGACTGCTCCGGCCTGGTCGCCTACATACTGTAAAGAATAAAATAAATAAATCAGTGATGCCAATGCATGGGTCGGAATATCACCTCGCCCACCCTAAACTCACGGGATTTCCTGTTAACCTTAAACAAAATTGCTAAAGTTGGCATGGCTCTGAAGCAATTTTGAGCAAGAAAAGGTTAAATTGTGACCTGGATGAGTAAAATTTATGTTTGGCAAATATAACAATTGAGATAAGATGTTGTCGTTAGTGATAGAAGATTCTAAGATGGAGATTTTAGATTGGCGCCAAAAAAATCAGTGTTGCCAATACACGCTAGAAACAGAACAGGATAATTACAGCGCCAGCCTTCAATTCACAGGATTTCTTGCTAACTAAAATAAATTGCTAAATTAATTATTCTTTTTATCTAAGGCTGAGATGAAAAAGTTAGTGTCACTAGCGGTATTCGAACCACGACCTTTCGGCTCATTACACCTCTGCTCTAACCACTTGAGCTATCGTGACTTCTCATGGCTCTGAAGCAATTTTGGGCAAGAAAGGGTTATATTATTATCCAAGATGGGAATTGTAGATGGACGCAAAAAAATCCATTGTTATCAATACAGGAGAGAACCATAGAAGGAATCATGATTGAATGAAATCCCCTACAAATTATTTAAAAAATGTAGTTTTATAATACCTAGTTTCTACTGTGTTAAAAGATAAAAAAAATACCAAGTTAGTGTAAAATTTACATGCTTTTAATGTACCGAGGATTTTTTTAACAACTTGCGAAAGAAGAGACATTCGTATATTTGACAATATATTAAATATACGCTGGGCAGTTAAAGCTTAATGAAAATAAACCTCCTTTTGTAAAACGTATGTACGATGAGAATGGCGTGTTCTATTTTTGCAGAGTCATCACATTACTGCATTTCTGTAGCAGCCGAGGGGTGACTCTTCCAAGGTGATTAGTGAGGAGGAGTTGAGTTAGTAGGACTAATGAACTGTGAGCAGAATGTATACAAGATGTCAACATTGTAAACATTAACTTATTTGTTTAGGAACTGATTCAACAAAGACTAGAACAGGGAGGCCGGATTTATTTTAGTCCAAATCAAAATTCCTACACCAATCTCGTTTACACCAAGTCTCGGGAAAATATTGTCCCTTATTTTAAAACCGATCATGGGCCGTTTTCCAAAATAGTTAATTTGATATTTAATTAACCAGCCGAGCGAATATAAAACAAACATTTTACCGAATAAATACAAAATTTTACTCACTTATGTTGGTTTGCCCTTCTATTTTATTCGTATTTGCCTAAAATTACATCCTAATCGCAAAATTGCTTAAATTCAAATTGGAACATGGTTCAACTTAAATTCACTAGTTTTAGTTGTCCGCTTGACCAATTTATTTTTCAAATTATATAAATTCAAATATTTACTTATGTATTTTAAAAATGTGAATAAACAGAGATAATTAAACAGAAAGAGAACTCGCCGAAGAGAACGACCTTTTTTTCACACACAGGGATGGCACACGCATATATANATATAAATTTTTTTTAAGTACACTAAATTGTACAAAATTTTCAAATTTTGGGACTTTACCTATATGAACCTATGCCTTAGCTGGATGCAAGGTGAAGGCTAAAGTGTATGGAATTATGGAATGTAATCCCTGGCAGAAGGCAGTAACTCTAATGGTCTGACGCGGTCCCTGGATATTCCAGTGTTCCATATTCTAAACCAAGAAGCCAGAGTAGCGGCTCACCGGTTCATAAATGGACGACCACCTGCAAGGCTAGGCCATGTCAACGAACAACGGAAGCTGAGGGAGGAGAAGTGGGCAGATGCCAAACTAGGCGTTCCAATCGATGCCACTACTCCAAAATATAACTTCACTAACAAGTAGTTTTACCAGAAAGGGAAGAGTGTGTAAAAGGGTGAACTCTGGAGGCCAATTCCTACTGGTATACTGACGGCTCAAAAACGTTTGGAAGCACGGGAGCTGGAGTCCTTGGGGTGAATCCAAAGACGTAACTGATTTTTTTTTTCTATTTCAACTACGTCGTTATATGAATCCTCTGGGTGCCGATGTTTTGGAAAACAAAGCCCATTTGTAAGTATGTCGGGTTCTAATGCAC